ACACCCAGCGGCCGCCGCGGGAGCTGCAGAGCTCCGCCCGGGCCTCGGGGCCGCGCAGAGCCCGGACAGCTGCGGGCTCCGACGGGGAGCGATGCTCCAGCACCGCCTGGAGCGGAGCTTCCCTGCCCTGGAACAGCCGTGGCACACAGGGAAGAGCAGAGAGCCCCGTTCCGGGCGGTAAGCCAGGGTATTTCTAAGCAAAACGCGGCTGGGGGGCGAAGGAGGGCAGAGGGACCCTCAGCAGAGACCTGAGCAGCCAAATGCCTCCAAAGCAAAGCCAACATTAATTAATTAACACCACTCGGTGTTAGTAAGCATGCTTACCAAGGAGCAAACAGAGCTTGCCCACAGATCTAACTACACTGCTGAGCATAGCACTGACGTCTGGGCAAGGGCAGCTCCCAACCATCACAAAAATGAAGGACCCAATTTCGGAAATGCTCAGCATCTCGTGGAAATATAGAAACCCAAAGGATGCTGAAATGGAGGCTGGACTCCTCTGAAAACCTGACCGTGCTTGTGAGCATGAGTCCTGTGTGACAAGTTCCATCTATCAGATCTGTTCTGATATCCTCAGGGGCTGTTCCTGGGTCAGCCGAGCACCCCCAGCTGCTCTCAGCCTCCACTGGTGCTGAGAACAGCACAACAGCCTCACATCCCTATTATATTAAACAATATACAGGAGTCAATGAACACCATTAAAATCTGTTTGTCCTTATTGAAGCAAGGATGTGGTGTTTTACTCCTAAAAGTCTATTACAGTGATTTCTATATTTCCCCTTATGCAAATGAAACAACAAACCCGACAGCCACTACTACATTTAGACCTGCAGCCACAAACGGGAGCAGATTTCACCCCACATCACTATCATCAATATTTTTGCCTGTGACTGGCACTGCAGGAGCAGCTGCATAGGACAGGCCCACTCAGAGCCCAGCCAACAGCACATCTTTCAAAAAAATCAAGATGCTCCACACTCAAGGAGCCCTGATATACATGGGGAAACAAGGATACAGAATGACTCCATTGATCAGTTTCCATTATGTGGATAATTAACAGAATCCTCTTGAGTCTTGGTTTCAACAAGAGGGTTAAAAACAAATTCAAAAATAATAAACTAATGTGTCTCCTAAGCTCAAAACTGCCTGGAAAAAAAAAAAGGAGAATTAATCTGTCTGGTTGTGAATCTATCCCTTCAAATAAAATATCTGGAGACCAATATGATAGAAGCAGATTTTTACTAATATTTCAGTGTAATAGTATGAGTTCATTGTCAGTCTTAAGCTTTCCATTATTCTTTGTCTGACACTTTATAGATGAAGTAAAAAGTTTTCATACAGCTGTCTATGTCTGGATGACATTAAACAACTCCTGCCTACTTCTGTCTTATGACATGTCAAACACAAAACGCTTTGTTTCATGAATAAGCCATCAAAGTTCTATAAAAAGGAATCAGTGATAGTGCCTTCTTTCTCTAAAAGTCATCTTAGGATCTCTTAAGTCTTGTACCTTAACATGGTGGGCACTGAGCCTGCTATTTCCAAGGTGCAGATGCAATCTTCCTCCAACTGCTTTTGGAATGTATCTCCCACAGAGATTTTCTTCCATTATAGACTAAAGAGTGACTTCTGCTTTTCTTCAACAGGACTCATCTGAGGGGCTACATTAGCTGCAAAAGTCTGTTGGGCTGATAAATCCTGAAACTGAACATTTATTACTTCATCACCTGCATTCTATTTCAGAAGGGAATAGTGTAACAAAGTCCCAGAGCAGCAAGCCTGGAGTAATTATAAAATGTAATCACTGGCTGAGAGCAAACACACCTGAAATCTGAGCACTGCAGAAGAGTCAGGACTGGAAGAACCAATCTGTTATTTTTGACAGTGGCATGAAACGTAAGTCAGAACATTCTAACACCATGATAGGGAGAATGATGTCAGGCCAAAGACTTTTAGCCCAAGTCCATAATGAAAGATAAAGCAAACATTTTTAAATACAGCTACAGCCTGAGCAGAACACATGGATAAGAGATTACTGCTCATGGAGCTTGCAGCTCAAGCTGAGGAAAAAGAAAAAGGAGTAACAGCAAGCATGACATGGGAACCAGGTAATAAATTACAACAGATGCCTGGTTAAATCTTTAGGCAACTATTTGTTATCTGAACATTTTACATGACTTTCCTTTCCTCTTCAGTAATAAAGGTGTAAAAATGAATGAATTTCAGCTCTACAAAGCAAATTAGCTGGTCTCTTCCTAAGCATGAAGCTTGACTCATCCCCTTGCTCTTTGTTGAACTGCCAATAAAACTTCATAAACACTCCTTTCCTATATAGTGAGAATGGGAATTAATTATTGAAGGTGTGATATACATAATTCTTTCAACTCTCTAGTCAAATGATAGGACTTGCTTGCCAGGCATAACTTTCTTTGCATCCTACTCCTAATGCAGCAAATGAACGAGTATAATTTCTGTTCAAATTGTAATCTATGCTGATGAGAACAAGCGTGAAGTTGCCACCAAATCTCAGATTTGCAGTGGCCAGGTAGGTGACAGTCTCTCCAGAAGGCTGAGATCTAAAGAAGTTACAGATCCTGATGCTGGACTAAACTGAATGGGCCCTAAGTGTGAACATCACGAGTTCACACCATCACACTCCCCTTCTTCCATAAATGCTAAAGATTTTATGAACACCAAGTACATAAGTAGCAGGGAAAATAAATCTTCAGAATTTGTGTATCATTCCCAATAGTGGACCCCAAAGGATTAGGAATATAACATCTAGAGCTGAATTGCAGATGAACAAAAGCTTTTTTTAACCATGCTAGAAACAAATTTTTTGTGGTGAAGATACTTAGTGAGGTCATAGTTCATGGCACAGAACCACAGCCTTCCAGGAGCTGTCAATCCCTCCCCTCTTGCTTTAGTATTAAAATCTAATGTAAGCAAAGAGCTGCTGAAAAAAAAAAACCACTGTGGACAAAAAATACTACAAGGAATGCCAAGCCCTCCCCTGATCTGCATACTTGTCAAACCAGGCCAGCTTTGCGTTCCTTTCCTTCTCCCTCTCATTCTTTAAGTGCAAACACAGTGGCCCTCTGCCACGGCATTCTGGCTGCAATACATTTGGGCCCAGAGAATTTGTGTTAGGGATCATTTCTCCCCAAACCAGCTAAAGGAAAGCTGATAATTAACCTAGGGCAGGTAGTCAGAGCAAGGTTGTATTGACTTCACTGAACAACTTCAGCAAAGAAGCCTGAAAAGAAATGAAAACAAGCTGGGAGATCCCAGATTTGTGCTATTCCTGGAGCATCCAGGCATGCTCCCCTCTCTGTTGAGGTGTCCTTAGCAAGGCTTTTGGGATCACCACAGTTCCTGTACAACTGTAATGAATCCTCCCTATATGTGATGCCTTGAGCCAATTACCTGTCAACAGTTTAATGAGTTAAGTCATTACAGCCTTTGAGATTCAGCATTTCAGCATCCCTACCACACACTGAATCCTCTTAACTGGCTCAGGTCCCAGAGGGGCTCACGTGTGCCAACAAAGTCATTCTCAGGGGAATACACAGAGAAATGGGTCTCTTTCACTGGTGGTTTTAATAAGAAACTGAATGCAGACTCTCAGAATGTGTTAATAGATATTCAGCACAGGAAATGTAAATTCTGCAATAGATTAGGATAGCAAGAAAACTTGGAGAAGGTACATTCTGCAGAGTGTTGTCAGCAGAAGTGAGCTCCTACTTGTTTAATAATGCAAGATGACTGCAGCCAGCCTGTGAATGCCTCTCAGAAACCCTGTTATCCATAACAGGATCAGAAATCCTACCAGACAGCCTCTAAATGCATTGGTCTCACTACACTGCCAGTTATCAAAGAGGAAAAAACTGCCTGAATAACAGTCATGTGAAGCAGCTCTCATTCCCAGCCATTCCAGGATGCACAACTGTCCATGGGCCACAGAAGAGCAAAGCTTCAAAGAACATGGAAAACAACATAGCAATAAATGTAATACAAGAATATTTTCAGTAAAGGCATCAGTAATCAACAACTGTATTTGTAGGCTATGGCAAGAAAAAAAATCCTTGTAAGAAGTAGTAAGGGAAACTTGACAAGTAGCAGCTATAACCTAAATCTGGAATGCCAAATTTGATCTACCTCAAATCTTGAGCTTTTCCTTCAGAGGACAGTGGGTGAAATCTTCTAAACTGGTGCTGAAACTAAGTTTGACTACTTGACAACGAGTGAAATCACACACAGAGGATACATTTTGCTAAGGAATGCCAGGGAGGTTCAGGTTCTTACCGTAGTAATATGTTAAACATCCCTGGAGATATTTATAGGTGGGTGTAGATGTCAATATGCATATCCAGCTGCATGTAGAGCTCTGGATGTAAATGCAGACACATTTCCATTGCTTTGCATGTTAAATTCCTGCAGCACTTCTTGCCAATTTGAATGGCAGCCTGACAAAGCAATATTTTGAGTCTTCCTTTCCTTTTTATACCACTTTTGGTGCTAGAATCTCTTTGTAAGAAAGAATAATTATGCAAGAGCTGTGTCTTGTACCTGGAAGGGGGAGCAAAATGCAAGTGTCTTTCCAGACGAGGTTTTGAAGCATATTTACAGCTCCTGGGAAAGCCTAGATGAGCTCAGCCATTTGGTTGCAATGGAGCCCGGTGGAACAGAACATACCGATCTCATTAGTGTCCCTCACACTTGGCACTATCGTTCACAAGAAAAATGAGATGGTAACGAGCCTGAATACAAAGTGCAACAGCCTCTCCCAAACCTATAGCAGTGCTCTGATGTGACAGATAACAAAAAGCAGGCGCTGTCAAAAGCTGATGTATGGCAGAGTAAAAGGGCCCCAAGGTCAGAGAGCTGTCATTCAACAGAAATCACTTTCCTTTTTCCTGTCCTAATTGGGGTGCATTAGCATCTTATGAACTACTAAATTGTCAGATTTTTTTTTTTTCCAAAAGATTTTTTTATTTTTTAAAGAAAACTATTCTTTAAAAGATGCTTTCTTGAATTTTTGACCGTGGAGAGACAGCTTCTGGTCTGGTTTAGCTTCACATTAACGTAAATTTTTATCCCACATCAGAAAGTGGCAAACACCAAGCAGAGAAGTTAGGTGAGAGAAGACAGTAAATTTGATAGGGTCCATATATTACTATCAAATAGCTAGCTGAAAATGACAATTCTGTGAACATGCAGGAAGCTTGGAAATCTGTAGCATGCCACGTTTTCAATTTTGCTGGGAAAGAAGCGTACCTAATGAGTGCTATGTGCAATAAAACCACACAGCCTCCCCTCTGGAATCAGCCACAGGTGAACAAGTCTCAGCAGTGATATTCAAGCTTTCCCAGCACTAACACCAGTGCTGGCAGGGACCAGTTGGCCTCATTTAGTTAAAGCCTTTCCTTTCTGAATACCAGCACTATCTACACAGAAAAGCTGCAAGCAGTTGTTTTAGAGAGAAATTGAGAATTTTCTTTCCACATAAACTACATGAAAAAACTATGATAGACAAATGGAGTAATGGTATGTGCTCTACCAGCACTAGGAAGGAACTGAAGATACACAGGTATCATAGTCACTGGGACATTAACTCTGATTATTGGGCAGGAATGTGGATGAGAAATCACAGAAAAACTCATCAAAACAGAGCCCCTCCTTCTTGGAGCTGAAGATTGTTCAACCTAAACAGTGCCACAACAGAATATAAGCCTCAGGCCCTTCTATAGTTTTCTCTGATTATGCCCAATCTCTTGGAATTTTTGTTTCCCTATTTAATTTGCTGTGTTTATTACAACAGCCCATGTCTCAGAGCAGCTTCATTTCCAATGCTGGCAATATTCCATTTTGGGATTAGCAGCTTTTGTCCAGGTAACCTGCAGGGTTCAGAGCTCGACATGAGATGCTGGGGAGGTAATTGAAACTCTCAATATCTATGAGCTCCCCTCCTCTATGCTCCTGGATTGGCACCATCTCCAGCCTTGGATGTGGATCAAATCAGCAGGAACACAAAGAAAGCAACAGGCTTTTTTTAATTTTGTTTGGCTGAAAACTCAGGCCAAGTATTGATTTTCCCATTTTATGCATAGAAGTAAATGGTAATTTCTGATGAAGCAAGGGGTGACACAGCAGGTCACCCCTCACTGTCCTGCTGCCATTTCAGCTTTTCCCAGCCTCCAAAGATGCAGCACACCCCACTGACACTGTGGGAAGGTGTAGCACCTGTCTCCCGGTTTGGCCTTTAGAGAGAACTTGAGCCTGTCAGTAAAATAACCAGAATTTGTATAAATACTAAGGTAGGTGATAATAGCATTGTTATTGACAGTTTTCCATTGCTTCTGAGGCAAAACCAAGCTGTCTAGAGAGATTTACCCTTTATTTAGCTATAAAAAATAAGCTGATGAAGAAAACAAAGTACAGCTATTCCAATTACTTTTCAAGGATAACTGATACCTCCTATTGGAGCTGGCAGCACTTGATATAAAAATCAATATATTTGTGAGAAATGGGAATGGCTGAAATATTCTCGATGCTTTTGGATGATGTATGACTGGACTGTGCCATGCCCACATCCTGGCTCTCTCTCCTTTCTGATGTTCAGCATAAGACTCTCTTTGGTTCCTGTCCAACCTGACAGATAACAGCAGCTGTCACTGAAATCACATAAAAGCAGCACAGGAACATGATTAAACCAGACAGCCTCCAGGGAAGTTTTCAGAAAGTGCCTGAACTGAGAGTTTGTACGAACTGAATGACAGAACTCAGAGCAAGGATTTGGAATTACTTCCAGGCTCCATTGATAAAGTAATTTCATCTGCCTGAACCTCACATTTTCCATTTTCATACCAGGTCTCCCATGCAATGCTCTTCCTGTAAGGTATATGATCACATAAGAAGCTTTGAAATTCTCTGTGAAATTGCATTAAAGTTACTTGGCTTGCAGACCTCAAAGGAGCAGAATCTGAAGTCATTGATTTCCTACAATCCTGAACCTTAGGAGAAGAGAGTCCTAGTTTCTCATGAATACACAAACTTTTCTATTTATACAATTTACAATATTTTTTTTGCTATATGGCTTCATAGACTGGATGGCTTTACGAGTACATGCATTAAAATCAATGTTTTCCAAGATTAGTGAACTCTTCCTCATGTTTTATAATTGTCCAGCTCCTTTTCATCTACTGAAACATTAAAAACAATGCCAGAGCTCTGTAAGCTTGGTTTTAACAAACCCAAATGGTCACTTCAGGACAGCACATGGAAGACATGACACTGTAGATAAGGAAGCAGACATTTATTTCTCC